CGGCAGATGGGGCATGACTGATCGTCAAACACGTCAAACGCCCCTCTTCTACCAAACACTTTAGGCTGCTGGTCCTGGGGTGGGATATTCGACCCACATCCTGAACAAAGTTTGAAGGTCTGTAAAATTGACCGTAAATTCTGAGTTGGGCAGGGGGGCGGGAAAATAGTGTATCAGTGCGATATAAAGATCGGAAAGATACATGCAAAATTGTGAAAACAGAAGCAAAGGCGTAATGTAGAATGCGATTTGTAACGCAATACTAATAGCCAATGTCCGTAGTATAATTATAACACCAAAGGGGCGTGTTACGCGCTAAGGTGTAAAACCCGTAAAAAAGGTAAGTGTAGTTATAATCTGGCACACCACCTTGGGTTTATGTAAAGAAAAACCTGTAGTTCTGTATGGTATAACAAAAAACCAAGCCGTTTTGATGGCCTTGGTGTTACATATGTCAGACAGTGGAACTACACAATGGACGCCATTACGGCCATTTGAATTCAAATGTACCATGCACGTGGCGTTTCTTCTATTAGAATTACAACTCTATAACTTTAAAATGCGAGGTATTACGCCTTTGCAAGGAAAGAAATGTACCATACATACAGTTTGGTCAGTCATAGTCTCTCAGTGAACGATTAGGTTCCTCTAGGGTCATGTCAGTCGAATGACATAAAGGAAAGTGATTTGTGTGAGAGTTACTCCCCCTGGCACGGGGCGCCGTGGAGGGTGAGGCACTGTAAAGGTGGTTGTATATCATACAAAAACGAAGTTTTTTTGTGTGGTAACATTTTTTATTAAGGAAAAATGGTTACAACTATGTCATGTAGATTTTCTTGAGCAAGGAAAATGCAATAAGTGCCCGAAGGAGGATTTAATCTGAAAGAGAATCAATGTTGATCATGGGGAATAGTCCAAAGCATGGAGTTCTGAAACTCTTGATGAGGTGACTTTCCTGGAAATACAGGGGGAAGAGCCGATCTGTAACCTTCTATCATCCCATGTCGGAACTTATTGTCCTGACGTAGATGTAGTAGAAAGTCTGCTCCCATAGGGATGGCTATTGTATTAGTTTTAATCCTTTGTCGTCTTCTCCACTGGACAAACTTATCCGACGGAGAGGTTCTTCCATTAATAGACTAAATAGTCTGGGGGAACCAAGCTCTGCTGGGCCAGATTGGTGCTATCAGGATTATCATGCAATCCGTCTCCTCCACCTTGTGGATGACTTTGTCTACGAAAGACCATGGTGGGAATGGGTATGCATATAGACCTGTCCAATCCATCAATAACGCATCAATCTGGTGAGCCATTGGATCTGGGACTGGACTGACATAAACTGGAAGTTGATGGTTCTGGAAGGTGGTAAAGAGATCTAGGTGCGGTGAGTCCCATAACTCGGTTATCCAAGCAAATATCTGGGGATGTAAGGTTCATACTGTTGGCACTATTCTCCCCGGTCAGCAAGGTTGTTGTTTCCCAGGAACATGTCTCACTTCCATCCGCCAACTGATGGCGTCTGCCAAGGCAAACAATCACGTAGTCTCTGTCATCAGAGAACTGGATCTGGTTCCTCCTTGTTTCTGAATATGTACCACTACTGTGGCGTTGTTTGTGGCTATGAGGATGACGATTGGGAGAGACGTATCTTCCATGCCAGGATGGCGTAATAGATGGCCTTCATTTCCTTGCAGTTGATATGTAGGATCCTCTCTCCAGTGTTCCAAGATCCTTGTACCATGATGGTACCATATGGGCTCCCCAACCCGAATCTGATGTGTCTGTAAATAGATGATGCTGGGCGTCAGAGAAGTCAGATGAATTCCACTCATCACATGCTCTCTGTGAGTCCACCCATGCAAGTCCTGTAATAAGTTGAGAGGTAACGGAGTCTTGAACTCTAGGGTGCGGGATCGTAGTGAGTTCATTCATGTCTGTAGAGGAGGTAACATCAACCTTCCTCTGAAGGTCATATCCTGTAGAGACAAGAGCGACGTTAGGTTGCCTAAAAGCAACATCCGCCGCCTCAGAGACCTGCTGGGTTGACTTGATAGGGATTGAATCATCGTAATAGTCTTGACAAATCAATCTTCTGGTGGACATAGATATCCCTTCTGTAGTTGGAAACCGCTCCGATGTAAATGATGTCTTGAACCGGAGTGGTCTCGGACTAGGAAGCCTAGGTAGGTCATAAGCTGAACCAGAAACAGCATGTAGGTAGGTGCCTGAAATTTCTTGTTGAGTATCTTTAAGTCGATTTTCATCCTCATGTTGGGTGAATTCTTTTTTCGGACCTTAGAATACTGGAGAATAAAAGCCTTTGTTCTTGTTGGTCTCGGATAGTTTCTGAATGGCTAGCTTCTTTCATAGCCTCCTGACAGCCAGATCTGCTGCCACTACCTTGGCGAAATCTGCGTCCTACGGCTTGAGATTTCACGATGGGATGTTTCTTGAAATGCAGTTTGTATCCATGAGCCACGACGGTTAGGACCCAGCAGTCGGGTGGAATCTGCTTCCACTTTTTGATGCATGACAGAAGACACCTTCCAACTGGCCCCAGAGTCGACATTATGTTGAAAGACGGTGAAAAGGCGAAACGACTCCTGAGAAGACTGATGCTTGTTGTACCCCCGACTCGGTTGGAATGAATCCTTCCCAGAGGGGACAAACTTTTTCTTAGGAGGCTGTTTATATGACGAGTCCTTCTGATCCCAGGAACGCTTTGGGGGATAGGAAGATCCATGTGTCTTGGCAGCTAGGTTCATGGTTGATACTTGGAATCATTCTGTTGTATCTTGTCTGACCTCGTCTATGACATGTCCCACTTTGCCGTTGAATGCCTTGGTAGGAGATATTGGTTGTGACATTATCAACCTCTTGGTTTGGTGGGAAAACAGCTCTTGCGTGAATCTGTGCTAGTAGTTGTTGATGCTGAACCCACAGTAGCTGTGAAGACATCCAGACTTGGATGGAGAGTAAGTCTTCCTGCATTCTGACTATGGTGTCCAGCAGGCTGTGGATGAGTCCGACCAGATCCGTCCTAATATTCATAGGAGTCTCTCCGGATATGCCCCAATATGATCACCATGTTCTTCGCTATGAATGATAAGGCGACTTGGAGCGCCTCGTAAGGTGATCAAAAACGTCCTCTCATATGATGTATAAACGTGTCAGACAACTGCTGTGATTTCAAGAATGTCGGAAAAGGTGCGAAACATGCATACCCACTCTTAATCTTCTGCATAAGGCATCAGTGATGTTGCAGGAGTACACGTTGTAGGTGGGACAGTTGTAAGTTGAACCACAGACATAGCCATGACAGGTGTAAGCGTCACAGGTGTGAGGGTCAGAGACGAAAATGTCACAGGCGCAGATGGTGACTAATGAGACGTTATTGTTAGATGCAGTTGAGAAGGTGGATGAGGCTCTGTTTAGACAAGTTGGTGCATCCATGCTGGACTGGTCGCCAGCAACGTCACTAGCAAGGCAATCATCATGCAAAACGGAGCTGTTGGACACATCATCCTGTCCCCAATGATCATCTCCTTGTTTCATCTTAAGACGGTGAAGATATATAACAAACTCATCTTCCGTGAGGAATGGACAATAAGAACAACGATGGTCTTCGGTACAATGAGCTTGCAACTGAGGTGAGGGTCTGCCCTCAATTTGTTCTCCTTACAAATGAAGCAGAAACCATGACCCATTGTAGATAAGTAGTAGTAGCGACATTCTTGTCGTAGTATTGATTAGACATCAATGGAAGATTGACGATTTATCACATAGCAATTTCCCAAGTGTTGATGACAGTGAAGGAGACAAAACTGAGGGCTTGGGGGCAGCCCATGTTCATCACAGATGGGCTGCATTTGGAACAGATGTTTCAATAAGCAATATGGATAAGTAACAGGATAAGTAAAAATGTACTTATTTAGAGAATGAATAAGGAGTTTCCTAAATTCCACTGTGCCTTGTGTTCTTACTTGGTTTGACAAATTGTATGTCAGTGAAATGTCATGTCTTAAATGAAAGAAAAAAGTTCCATTATGACCTTCTAGGTAGCTTTATGGGGCCTTTACAAAGGATGAAGACTTTTGTCCTGTGTGCGACCATGAAATTTGCCAGGTTGTCGTTGAAGGCTCAACGTAGGCAGAATGGTTGCCTAGGTCATTCCAAGGTGGTACACGGGAGGTTCAGACATCGCAATGGACGCCATGGTTGCCATGAATTATTGAACATGTTCAAAACAGTTGCACAAAGGTCGCCGAGGAGATTGGTAGCTCAAAGGTGGCTCAAAGGAGGCACAAGCATTGCCGTTGTTGCAGAATGAAGGCACAGTGGTCGCCCAATGGTCGCCAGGTAGAAGATGCGTTCTGCTGCAAATGTATTCCGTTAATCTGGGCGATGCTTCTGCCTCCCATGTGCCTCCTTTGGGCGACCAACAGCGTGCACTGAACGATGACTATGGCGACTGCCGTGCCTCCATTCGGCGACCACGGCAACCCTTGAGAAACCATGGCAAGGCTGCTGCCTCTTTTCTGCCTCCTTTGACCTGCCTGTAGTGCCTCCTCAGCCTGCCTATATATGGAGGGCTTGTACCTGCAGTGTTTCATGTGGTTGCAGACGCTGAACAACTCGAGCAGTTACTGCTGAACAACTGCTGGAGCAGTTACACAGAAACATGATTTTCTGTGTTTAGGCGACCATTGAGCGTCCTGGCCAGTTTTCTATCGCTCAAAGGTGGCACAAAGGTCGCAGCCCTGTGTAAAGGGGGCTTTAGCGACGTTACAGCTATCCAATCAAAGCTACTGTTTGGTATAGGATATACAGCCATTAAAATATCAGACAATGGATGCGGATGACTGAATTAATATGCAAGAAATAGTGGATAGAAACAAACATGCCTACATTCATTCTAAATTAAGTCAAATTCAGAAACCCCTTCATAGTGAAAAGGACGGACTTCAAGGCCTCTATAAGCTAATTTAATGGGCACCTACCAAGTTTAACGGATTTTCTATCTGTGCCAAACACTCTGACTGATGTTAGGTATAGGTCTCTATTCTTGTCAATTATTGCTAGTCTCCGCTCTGCAGCAGGGCCGAACTGGTCCAGGGCTATCTCCATCACCTCAATCTGAAATAGTCATAGCACATCATACAGGAACAAACAGCTGTACAGCACATCTGAACATCCAAACATACTGTTCCACCAGATTAAACAAAATGCTTACTACAACCAAGTCCCTCAGGGAGTATTGTAAATCGTGAAATTAATGCAAACATGAAAATATTAAATAAGTGGTGAGTGTCCCTCGTTCGGATTAATCAGTTGACACATTAGGCTAAAGTTCTCAAGCTATGCCACATCATCACAAATTCCACCACACCTTTCGTTTTTATTTCCATTTAAAAAAAATAAATCCTTAAACATTCCGCGTCTTGAACACACACTACCCTGGCAGTGAAATGCTACAATGCTTAAAAACAACACAATCAAATATAGCATGCAGTTACTTCCATGCACTGATGTACTGCGCATCTCATGTTCTATGTTATGGTCATGGCGGCAATAGTATTTGCCAATTGCAAACTTGGTCAGATCATACATGATTTCGTTGAAATTAATGTAAACAAAATTGAGTGAAATCTTGGAGAAAAGTTATTGGCGTACTTCAGTACAGATTTGTTGACATGATTCTTCTGGTGTTGTGTGCTCACGATAACGTTTTCGCATTGTGAAATCTAGGAGTCCACACACTGGAAGTCCAACGGTATTGAAACACTATATTCCAGTATTTAACTCATCAAGGAATACATTTATGTAGGGATCCCACCCAAGAGGTTGATTGTACACAACTGTTTATTTGGTAACACCACTAAAAAAAAATAGCAAAAAAAAGCCATTGCCTGACAACCAATTCTTATTATTTATTTAAGCCTTATTATCTGGAGGTTATACAGTATTGTCATGTCAGGTTCACTGCACAGGGGTGGAAACAATGCCATGGCAAAGATAACAATAAATGGGGTCGTCCCACGTCCTCTGTGACATGCCAAGAGATAATCTGCATGTTCTGATTAGCATGTGCTACAGTCTATAGTCTGTATGAAATAACCCCCGATATTGACATGATATACATTTTTTATACAGATTTTACTAGATTTTTTAACTTATCCTGCATTACTCCTTAATGCATCTGTATCCGATGGTGTGGAGGCTTGAAAACATTCAGATATATAAAATACTGGCTCTGGACATGATTCAATTGTTTTTATGGCATCGCAGGTTGGTTATCTGCAGCGCTACGACCAGCGGACCAAAACTGCGAATACCCTCGACATCTTCTAAAGCCACGTCCTTCAGGCAGTGAACCGAATCCTACCTCCAAAAACATCCTTTCATGATGGCTCTAATTGAACAATTACTGTGTAGAGCCATCGTGGAGGTAACCACACGAATCTCATGGGGGTTATTAGCTCTCAGTGGCTCGAGTTTAGCAATATTGTAAGCCTGAAGAATGATAGCTCACAACCATATAGAAATGGTATTGTGGCTGTCTTTGGCTGTGGATGCCTCAGAGACCTGAATAAACAATCGTTTCCGAGTACCATGCCTAGTCTTGGAGCGGTGGATGAACACCCGTAGTGAACGCACCGGGCATAATAAGAGTTCATCCTCGTCTTCCACTCCCTCGATGGACGATAATGGTGGGACAGTGAAAGATTGATTGGGTTGTCCTGGCAACTGTTTTTTTTCTATAAAATCCCAGCATATCCATAGATGGTGCGTACCTCGCTTGAAGCGTACATGAGTACTAAGGCCAAGAGAAAAATTGTTTTCTTGGTGAGGTAAAAAAAATGATGGTGTGTGGAGAGGCGTGGAGATGGAACGCCTCTGGGTTGAGCTTCCACTCCGTGGGTGCCAATCTGTCTGGCCTGGATAGGGCGTCTGCCAGCACATTCTGACATCCGGGTATGTGATGAACCGGGTATGTGATGGACCAGGAAGTGCAGACCCAGTTGATCCACTAGACTGAAAAACCTGAACATCTGTTTGAGCAGAGAGTGCGAGTGAGTGGTCCCCTGATCCCGTAGACACCAGACCACCGTGATGTTGTCGGTGGATATGGCGAGTTGGGTGCCAATGTGTTATCGCTAGAACAAGCGCCTCCAATTCTAGGTTGTTGATGTGCCAAGCGCACTGTGTGCCGGACCACAACACTGATGCTGTCTGGTCCTGTAGGTGTGCACCCCAACCCTGCAGAGAAGCGTCTACGAATATGTGTAGCGAGGGGGATAGCTCTGTTAAGGAGACACCTCTTAAGATGTTCGAGACACCTCTTAAGACGGTAAAGCGATGGATACCAATGGGTCCTGTTGCCTGATGTCAGGAACCAGAAACTGTTGGATCGGTCGCAATTGCAATCGACCCCTGATCGTCAAGTCCTGAGTTGAGGTAAGCAGTCCCAGAAGCACTTGCCATTGGTGAAGTGTGATGGGCTGCTGTAGGGCGGGGAACAGATAACATAGGGTATTTATTCATCTGTCCCTTGGCACTGATAGGAGGTCTACATTGGTCTGAAATAACCTTCCTATGAATTGGAGTCCATAGGATTGAATTAGTTCCAACTTCAGCCGTTGCTTATCCACCCCAGTTGATAAAGTAGGCGCCTGGTAAGCTAGTGATTGGGGGTCCTGCTACGGAACAACATCTTTATTCCTTCAAGCAGGATCAATCACAGCTTTCACTACTGTAAAAGGTGAGCAGTGAATACATTAAGGAGTAATGCAGGATAAGTAAAAACATATTTCAGTTAGATGTGAGATGGCATCGAGGTACTCTACAGCACATTTCTCCCCAGCAAGAAATTGTCTTTTGTAACGGTCAAGAGTATGCTCAAGTTGTCAGTATTTTCTTTTCTTCATATGGCGTGTACCACCAGCATTGAGCTGCAGAATGGTAAATTCAACGAAAGACTGATCTGTCTTTATAAAAGTCTAAAATCCGGAAGAGGTTAGGTTTGGAACTGGTGATTTGGATGAGTTGTTGTAGGTGGTCACGAGATTGTTCAGGGTGCTGATTGTGGAAAGGCATGATCTCAGACAACAGTGCCAGTGGATTTTGATGCCATTTCTGGACTTGAAACTAAATTTGTAGCAGAATTACACCAAACACTGTCCTCCACGATTGTTTGGAATAAAATAAGAAACTTGTGCGTTTGCCATATTGTGATGCTATGCAATAGTGTATGACTATCTCGTACTTATACTCAAATTGAATGAATTTGCTCACTAAAAATAAATTAATCCATAATCGGTATAAAATGTGTTCACTCACCTAATCAGTAACAGTAATTGATAACCGGCTGACATGAGTTTCACCAGGGACCCTTTCACCAGAAAAGACTATCGTCAGCCAACTACGCATGCACTACCATTAATCCAGATTACCCGACCGGGACTTACCCCAATAAACAGGCCAGGGGTTGACACTGGCATGAATTTGGTGATGCATTAATTTCATGATTTACAGTAACTGTCTTGGTATGGAGGAAAAACAGACCAGCTTTGGGGACTGGATGTATAACATTCACAGAGTTATGTTGGATCATGTTGCATTTGACACTATGAACCTGGAAAGGTTAAATCCAATATCATAAGAAAGTAGAGGTGTTTGCAACCCTATCCTCAGATCTATATATTTTCAGTCTGAATACAGTCAAGTCTCGTTAATCCGACATCGTTGGTTGCACATGATTGTGTCGGATTAACGAGTATGTCGGATTAACCAAATTAAGTGATTTGTGATCGAAAATCGGACGTCTTCACGATAGATAATAACCCTGTGTACCTTGTAATAAAATCATTAAAAACGAAATATTTATATTGTTATGTTGTTTTTTCATTCACTCCTTAATTTATAATTAGTGACATTGCAAAAATAATAATAATTTTTGCCATTTATACATAACAATAGAGACATTACTCACTGAATTTATCACATCAACGACACACGTTTCCTCATGTAAATGCAAGTGCTACTGTCTTGACAACTTGCTGCATCTACTTAAAATAGTCTTTCAGTGTTTTCTGTTTCTCACATTTTGAAGGCACATTTCTCAAAGTCCCCTGCATTTTTGTAATGAAGTCCAAGTCAGTAACGGAAAACACATCTAAGTGGTGTTCGACGAAGCATGCAAGTTGAGTGAGATATGCCTTGATGGCTGCTGCTGGTGGGATAATTGGATCCTCGCTGTCGTCTGCTTCATCCTCTGTGTTATCTGTGTTAACATCGTCAGGCTGTCCTCAGACGATGTCAACGATGGCATCGTTGGTCAGCTCTTCCTCACATGGGATGTCGTCATCGGCGGTCAAAAAGCCTTCGCTCAATGCCGTGTCGCCGTACATGGTGTTGAAAGTGGCATTAATTGCGTTGATGGCTTCGAGGTCGGTGATGACGGGTTCAGCTGTAGCAGTTGCATCTGGGAGAATACAGGTGCCAACAGTTAATGATTGTGTCTTGCTTCACTTCATTCCAAGCAGCCTTGATAAAAAGCAGAGCTCGCTTCACGTCTAGGGGATGTGGTTCTTCTGCTTCAACATTGTCAAGGTGTAACTTCATTTTAAGTTTCTTATAATAAAGCTTGAAATTCTTTATTATCCCGGCATCTAGTGGCTGAATGTGTGCTGTTGTGTTTGGTGGCAAAAAGTGACATTTCACATTAGTTGTGTCGACAGTAGCATGGGATGGGGCATTGTCCAACAACAATACCACGTGGCGTCGCTCCAATCGCATTTGCCGATCCAAGATCAGTAGCCAGGCTTTGAATATTAATGAAGTCATCCATGCCTTCTTGTTTACATACCAGTGGAAAACTGATGTAGGGTCAAATGTTCTGCTGAAACAACGTGGCCTGTTGTTTTTATGAATAACTAATGGCTTTAGTTTCCCAGTTCCTGTCGCATTGCATGCCAACATAACTGTCAAGCGATCTTTGGCCTGTCTTTGGCCTGTCTCTTAATTCCATGTCTCAGCTTGAAGCGATGGAGCCAACCAGTGCTGTATGAAAAATCTTCAACGCCTAATTTGTCACCTAACACCTTCACTTGAGTTTTAAGAAGTTCGTCATTTAA